TAATAATACTTCTATTGTGTTTTCTACTATACATACATAATAAGGAACTGCTGATGATTAAGGTATCTAGCAAGTTACATATTTCAACCATCTGTTTAATAATGCAGCGCAACATCTGCGAATGCTGAGTGCATGCCGGGGCTGATGTTGTTTTCGCACACCTTTATATGACTGTTTGAGGATACCTAATTCCAAGACCTGGTATTAGATTTGATGTTTTTTTGGGTTAACTACTGACTGAAAATGGCTAATGGTAGGATAGGGGGGCTGGGGATTCGATATGCCAATGAATGTTCTCACAAGGATGCACAGTTTAACCAACCACTTGTGTGTGTGTGTGCGTGTGTCTGTGCAAGAGAGTGGGAGATGGGTCAAGGGTGGTCTGACTCATCAAAAGCATAGGGCCTTGGACTTTATGCCATTGGCACACTCTTGTTAATATTCATAACACTGCATTTGAGCCATCTTTATCAGTGTTTCATTTTATGAACCTTTTAATGTCAAATGAGTCAAAAAAAAATTCTCCAGAGGAATCAAAAATAAATACATACACAATACATTTTTAAGTAATAAATTGCACAAAAATGTTGGATATAGCAAAAAAAAAAAGATAAAAATGTACATGTGCAAATTTGTATTTAATTTATTTCTTTAATTTGAAAGAAAATATAAACATATATAAGCAACCCAGTGTCAAAAACTTTGGCTTTTCTGTCAGTTATTTCATGGTTCAGGCTTTACAGGGTTAAAATGTTCAAAGATAAGTATGGTGGCTCATTGATGCAATGACTGGTGCAATCTCACTGTAAGACGGTCTCAAGTTTTGAAACCCACAGCTCTCAATTAAGGTCAGTGAGGGAATATGATTTTGATTTACTACAGGAAAAAAAAATACCCCAGTGGTTTGAAACCTGATATCACGTTACTGTTCAAATCATGAATGCGAAAGTCAACAAATGTTCACTCTTGCATGTCTTTCAAGGTTTGATCAAGCCATGTACAAATCATGCTGATGTTTTGAGTTACTCGTTTTACCATGTAGTAGCAGGTCTGTAGTAGAAAGTTTATTTTCATCCATCCATCCAAAAATGTTGCTGTCACATTATTTATATAGGAATACAATCACAACACAACCAGTTGACAACTAGTTGAGTTGAGAGCCCAACTGCAAAGAGACACAGTGACGGATTTTCCGAGTTAGAAGAAGAGTCCTGTTTATACTCTAGTCTCACTGAGCCATTAAGCAAACGCATATATTTTCTATACATAGTGTATAACATGAATATGTTTGTTGTGAAAAGATAGTTGCAGTTTAGTTCATTGCATTATTCCTTATTGCTTTCAGAAAACAGCATGAAAGCACCCTCCACACCGTGCATTCAAACGATCTGACTCATGTCTTTGGTTTGGTGGCTGTTAGCTGACAATCACTGCACCATAATTACTAGGCCAGATGTGTTTGTGCTTTCCAAGCTTCCTATTAGATATTCAAAAACAAATGATCGCCTGCACGACCATAACTATGAAAGCAGATTCTGATCTGCTTCCTCAAGGGTCCTGGAGGTCCAGCCATGATTTAGCTTTAATTCTGTGACCTTGAGTAGCCATCCAGCTTTGGGTTATGTCAAAGCTGTAAACCCACAGAATTATGCTTACAAGTCTACGAGAAGTTTTCAGTAGCACTGGTCATTAGGGATGGGTATTAATTTTCACCATTCCGATTCCATTTTCGATTCTGTTTAACGATTCGATTATTTATCGATTCTCTTATTGATTCTTATTTTTAAAAAAGGAGAACCCACAGGTCGATTAGCTTTGAACTTTGTTTTATATCTTATCTTTGAACAGACAGAAATGTAGGAGTAACATGACCTTACAAACCCAACAGTGAGATCTTAAGAGATCCACAGCCTACTGCTCCTCGATGCCACGAGGACCCCAGAAAAAAAAAGGTTGTAAATGTAAAATAATAATAAAATAAATATTCTGTTGTAGCAATAACAAAGTATAACATAAATTATTCAGTGGCAATTACACAAGAATGTCCAGCAACATTTACACTCTCCTTTTAAAAGTATATATGAGCTGGGCACTCAAAAATAAAACTATATCAGCCAGCAAAAATACAATCAACTCAAGTCCAATGGAACAGTGCACTGTGCAATTCTGCATCCATCAACTATAGAGAATTAAAAATTATTTTGCAGAAATGTAAGCATATCTGCTTTTTCAGGAAGGATACGTGATCTTTCTGGACTTATGGTCTCTCCAGCTGTGGAGAACACCCTCTCAGACGGGGTGGAGGATGCCTGCACACACAGAAACCTTTCAGCCAGTGCTGACAGCCCCCTCTCTTGCTCCACCACCATAGGGCAGCGTTATCCTTGCAGGGGATGGGGGTTAGGCTTCTATACAGCTGGATCTCCTGATCCACTCTGTGGCCCAGGGAAAGAACGGGATGCCGTTGTTGGAATGACTGCAGCTTGTTGTCCTCTTCTTCAAAGAATTCCTCCAAGGCCGTTTTTCTTTGCTTTACTGGTGGCGCCTGAAATTAAATTGACATGATAAAAAAATAAGCAAAAAATGAACAATCAATGACATTTAAATTATCATCACAATGAACTAAACTTACATAGTCTTCTTCATCCTCATCTTCGAACAACTCTCCCTGTGTGTCTCCTTGCTCCAGGTGCTTGAGTAGAAAGTGACAAATAAACAAGCAAATCAAACTAAGTACCACAGCTCCATAGATGAAAGGTCTCACTCTCACAATGGAAATGTGCAACAATGAAAAACACTGTCATATTGAAATACCTCATCTGCTCCTGCCTCTGCCTTTGCTGCAATTGCTGGTTCCCTGATCCTGTGCCAGACTTCATCCTTCTCCACTTTGGATTTAAATCGGGGGTCCAAGATGGTGGCCTCCTCCAGGAAGCTCTTGATATCAGCGTCCTTACATTTTTAAGAGGGAGGAAAATGTGACATCATGACTGTCATTTTATTTATGATAAATAAATCATCAATTGTACCTGGTATCGTTTGGAAAGATCTTTCCAAATGTTCTCCTTTATGCTCCTTGTGAAGGCAGAGTCATCTTCTTGTACGGTGTAGTGTTACTGTAGCTTTTGCAGGATGGGCAAAATCTCACCACAGGTCGGACTTTTGTCACTGGACACTGCTAGTGTGGAGGTGTAGTGCTTCCGCATGAGTACCACAAACTCCTCTGCTTTTCTTAAGTCATCATTGCCCATTTTAGCCAGTCTGCAAAATCAACAAAACAAAAATACAACAGATATGTTGCATAAAACAAACAAAAATAAAACCTGAGTCCAAGTTAAGCCATATTATCATTATTTTTCAATACTACTCACCTTTCCTTTTCCATGGACTTTCTTATTTGTGGATCGATGGCTGCAGCCTGGATGGCAGGAAACTGCTCGCAGAATCTGTCCATCATCAAATACAAGGAGTTCCATCTGGTCTTTACATCTAGGAGCAGCATATGCTTGGGCAGCTCTGAGGGGTAACGCGTTCACAACTTAAATGCTAATGTAATATTCCTTATCTTAGTTTATAAATTTAATTTGATCATGATCTAATGATTATAATATACACAATCTTAAAAAACTATTACTATGCTTACTGAGCAACTCTTGCTTCTCCTTCAGGACCACTTTTGTCATGTGGGACCTCTTCATCCTTAAACTTTGACATTTCCTGACTTAGCCTACAATTAAACATTCACTTACCGAAACTCGGGGGCATCTACTGTGGCAAAAGGGTGCAAGCCTTTTACAACAAACTTAGTCACTGCTCGGTGACATTCGTCTATCCTGGCCTGTGTCATTTTACTTTTCCCTGCCTCTGTGAAAGGAGAAGCCACCTGTAGACTGCAGCGAGAACTGCCAGCATCTGAGCCAGACAGACTCTGTCTGTCTCTCTCGTCATGGTCATCTAAATGCAGCGCACAGTAATGGCAGGTTTTGTAATAAGGCAAAACGTGCTAACATAATATGCAATGCTAGTTGATTAGTTACCTGCAGTATTAACGGGAGAGAACGTGCAAACGCTAACGCTGCTGCTGGGTTGAGCTTTGCTAGTCCGGAGCGGATCAAAAACACGACATTCATTTAAAGCAATCACGTGTTTTTTGAGCAAATGCTTTTGCATATTCGTAGTGTTTCCTCTCTTTGATGAAATCTCTACTTTGCAAGTATTGCACGTTGCCCTGTTGTCATCCTTTCTCATAAAGGGTAACCAAACTTTTGAGCATTTGTGCCGCTTAGGCGCCGTGTTTCCTACTGAGTAAAAGACGCTATGCAACGTGGTGACGTCATTCGAGGCGTCTGGAATCGATAAGGGAATCGTTTGTAAAAATGGCAAACAATTCTAAGGAATTGAAACAGTGGGAACCGGTTCTCAACAAGAACCGGTTTTCGATACCCATCCCTACGGGTCATCCTTATATTGCTTGGTGTGCCTGAAATCTAGAAATTGTTAAAAACTGTCGGTAACTAATATTCTGTGATTGGTCTTATTTAAAATGACTTGGTTTTTTTTGTTGGTGTGGAAATGGCCTGATCATGTATGGCATTATTTTTGTGCCACTATTCTGAGCGCACGTAAAAAAAATTGAGCGCATGTAAAAAAAAATTGCAGGTGCAAGTGTTGCATTTTGAGGAGAAATTTATTTTGAGATTACAAAAGCTGAATTTGAGTGAACAAAATTCATTGCTGCGTGCAAAAAACGTATTTCAGTGTTTGCGCTTATCCATATACACACACAATAGCACCCCCTCTCGCTCAGTTTTTTCATTTGCGCTTGCTCGCAATGTGTTGCTTGCGCTCACAACATTCTCTGCTTCCTACGCTCAACTCTCTGTACACCGTTATAAGTGTGCCACAAAACCAACCAATCACAGACTTGGTTTCAAAAATTCTGATTGGCTCTTACGGTCTCCAATCAGCTCGCTAGCTACTGCTTTCCGGACACCGGAAACACTGTCCACTCAGCCTCGCTTCTTGCAGATAGAGGGATTTTTGATTTACTCTGCAGCTAAAGAAGAGATGGCAGAATCAAACAATGGCTCCAATAATACTACACCACAGTATCAGGTGAGTTTAATTTTTTTTGTGTGAATTTAGTAATTTGCTGTCCTTTCTGTTTAATATGCTGTGAAATTGTAGTTACAGATGCAGCTGTAGAGTTTAAGCTAGCCTTATGGGTAATTACCAGCATAGTTGTCTTACTGAGGCAGTGTATCCTAATCATGTTTTTTAGGGTAATGGTGCAGTTGAGTCAGCAGTAAGAAATCTGGTGTCTTTGCTGCTTAACAACATATCCACAAATCCTTCAGGGAGGCCAACAGAGAGTGGGCAGCCGGAGCCTAGAAATCTGACTATCCAGCAAGAGATGACAAGGTTTTTGCTTTTTTTGTGTGTTTTTTTTATTTTAACTTTTGCAATCTTTTCTGTTAAAGTTATTTGGTTTGTGGATTTATCAACATTGATTTTTAAATTAAAATGTGCTATTAAGGACTGATGTCATATTTAATAACTTTATTAAACAATAACCCTTATGTTATGCAACACTGCATTTTTTAAACTCATGCATTTTCATCCCACAGATCATTTCCAGGATATTTCAAATCACACTTGAGCCGTGGTAAAAAGAGATGTTTAACATCTACTAAGCAGCTTGTTAAGGCAGGCAGTAAGACCACAGGCCTCAGTTTTTATTTGCTGTCAAAAAACACATCCTACACACCTTTGCCAGCTGAGGAGCTTGAACTCCTACAAGCTGGCATGGGGAGACAAACAGTGTCTCTTCCAGAAGATGGTGACCATGCAGAGGTAAGTTTGTGTAGTCAGTATTAAAATCAGTCATTGGCAGACGCATTTAGCCTGAATCATATGCCACAGTCCGTTTAGTGTTCCATTCTGCTTAACGGTGTTTTTAACTAAGATTTCTAGACTTCTGGAAGAAACCTTTCCAAAAATGGAATATCTTTGTGGAGGATGGCTCTTACATAAGGCAACAGGTTTGTTGTTAATTCAGTTTTTATGTATTTTTTTGGCATTCTTGCGTGCTCATACTGCATTATGATTATGTAGTTGATACTTTTGCTGCTTGATTGTTTATGCTATTTTTCTGTCAATAAAGGTGGCAGTGGTCGACGAAAGCTCACTGTAATTCCACCTGAAACAGAAGGATATTCTGTCAAAACACTGAAAGCTGTGTCAGGAGGTGGCAAATCCACTTTTTACATAGTACCTCTTCAGGAAACATTAGACACATCTCCTCTACCTCCCGACTCACAGCACTTTTCAAAGATGCCAAAGAAGATATGTTACCAGTGTAATGAAGTTATGCCTCTGCAGATGCTTGCAGTACACATCAATACGTGCAAAGGAAAATTCTCTCCTGATGAGACTGATGATGAGGTGAGACAATTTTGATGAAATCAAAAGGAGCAATTTTGATTAAATAATATAGTATCACAATTACTGTTTTTTGATTCAGCAGGAATCGGAGTTATGCATTGTGAAAAGCAAATGCAAGGTAAACCTAGCACATTACTAAAAACCATAGTAACTACAATGAATTTTGTATCGGTAATGATCTTTTTCCCACTATGCCTAACATGTACCCATTTTTGGAATTGTAGGTTATTTGTCCAATATGCACTAAGGATTTTCCTGAAGATGAGATCACAGTCCATGCGAGTCTGTGTGGGGATAGGTAATCTTTTTTCAGCCGTTTATGAAAAAATGTTAATCAGTAACAGTCCACGCAAACATATGTATTTTTATTTTATTTTTTTAAACTTTGTTTTGTCATCAGCTTTCAATGCATGGTGCCTGAAGAAAATGACCAAACTACAGGGACACCAGCTCAAACTTCAGTATGCACAACAGACAGGTACTTTTTGCTCTATTATAATTCATATACACACTATTATGCAGAACCATTTGTTAAAATTATGTGTAAGATCTTTTACACAATACCTGGGGTTTAATTTCATATAAAACATTTTATGATCACACTACTTTAAATTATTGTTAAAGGTTGTTGCACAGAACATGCTGCAATAATTTCTAATCACGTTTAATGTGGTAGCCTCTTTTAATCTAAAGATGATTATTTTTCTTTGAGAGCTTAGGATGTTTTCTACCCTGTTTTTGTTAAGCGTGGAAGATGTATTGCGTTGCCTTGAACAACAAGTCGACACCACAACAGAATTTAAGTTGTGTGTGGACAGAGAAGACCTTCCAGACAGAGGCATTCTCCAGTGGCAGAGAAAAAAAGCTGCATCTCCCACCAGTGTTCTTAGGGTGGTTTTCATTGGAGAGGCAGGCGTGGATACAGGAGCACTTAGGAAAGAGTTTTTGAGTGGTGAGTTGCCTATTACCTGTTTTGTCCTAGTGTCAATAAATAATGGATAACTTAAAAATGCGGATATTTTTTGTATGAAAGACATGATTTCAGGTATTGAAAGCAGATTCTTTGAAGGACTTGAGAACAAGGGCAAAAACCCCAAGTATTCTCTGACCGATCTTGATAATGAAAACTTCAGGTTGGTTACATACGAGCTTTGTGTATTACATTTAATACGCATCCGATATTTTTGTAAATGTTACCTGAAAATGAATTATAATCATTTGTCTACACAGAACTGTTGGTGAAATAATTGCAGTCAGCCTCGCCCAAGGAGGCCCATCTCCTGCCTTTTTCAAAGAATGGTGCTACAATTTCCTCTGCTCAGGAGAGGTTGATTTCAGCTGTCTGTCTAAGGAGGATGTTGCAGATGTGGAATCTTCCCTGCTCATCCGCAAAGTGAGCACCTGGTTTAGCTCTGGCACATGATATATTATGAGTATGGTGTTTTTAAACACTTTTAACCTTCTGTATTTCCTCTTTCACATTATACATTTCCAGGTTGAAGATGCAGCAGACATACAGTATCTGATGATGTGGGCTGATGAAATTGTCAGCTGTGGATACACAAACCAGATAAAGATGGATAGTAAGGAAAGCATGATCCGGTAAGGGAGAAAAAATCAGAGAGATCATTAACCCCCCCCAACTAGTTTTTCATTTTTTTTTTTTTTTTTTTTTTTTTTTTAAGTGCTATTGTCTTACACTCTACAACAAGACTGATTCCAATGCTACAGCAGCTCCGAAAGGGCATGGAACTCTATGGTCTTGTGAACCTGATGGCTGTAAATCCTGAAGCTTGCCACAGTTTGTTTGTTCCTGGGAAAATCCTCAAAGTAAGTATTAACATAGCAGCTTCAGTCTGATCCAAAGACAGTCCACTTATCTGTACTGTAGTTATCCTGTATTTATTTATTAGTTTTGAATGAACAATATATCTATAATATAATCTACTTTATTTCCTTATTTACAGCCAGACGCTGATTTCATTATGATGAGCTGCCAACCACATTTCAGTGAAAAAGGGACATCTAGGGAGAGAACTGAGAGGAAGATCATAAATTTTTTGCAAGATTTCTTGCAGGAGATTGAAGTATCAGGTACTATATAGTATTAGCTGTATATACCTATAGTATTGTATATATACCGTATGCATCTGTTAAATATTTTTGCTTTAACATGCAGGGCACTAGAAAGTATTCTTAGTTGTTAATTTAAAACATTGTAATCCAGATTGCTTTTTATTTAGAAAAGACTTCAGAAACATTTTCAAACATCACAGATGGAAACACAGGCGGTGCAGGTGGTGAAAAATCAGAGTCTCTTGCTGTCCACCATGTGCTCCAGTGGATGACCGGCCAGTCCCATGTTCCCATCCTTCCTGATGAAAAGAGACATTTCAAAATAACATGCAAGTTTGACCATGAATGTAAGGAGCGGCTGGGAGATCACTCCATTTGTTACCCAGTTGTGAGTGCATGCACTTGTACTGTGACTTTTCCAGTGCAGCATCTGGACACTTACACAGTGTTTAAAACCATAATGAGTGCAGCAGTTAAATATGGTGGTGGATTCCACAGAGTTTAACACATTGTTGTCTTGTAATTTGGAAACTAAATGAGTAAAAATGTTTGTAAACATTAGCTGTTAAGATGTTCGTAGCCGTTTCATGAAAATGACAAGACTTCAAAACTTTGTGTAGGGTCCTACGTTGATAGATAATAAGCAAGTGCTTTGTTTGCTTGTCTACTTGTAATCTGAATGTTTTAGCAAAGAAATCCAGTATTTGAGAACTTAAAAGAACGTTGACTTTCACGTCCATGTTAAGTGTCACTGTTGGTTTGACACCTGTAGCAAGAATTGTATGTACAGGTCACGACCGTGTGACTCAGAATGTTCCAAGGGATTAATAGTTCTCTGAAGGCCCTCCAGGGTTTCCTCATCCAGTGGGCATTCAACTTCAGGAACCACAACTGTGCTGTTAGATTCTTCTTGCAGTACAGCACTCTCTCAGTCAATGCCTGGATCCCGAAGCTCCTTCAAATCCACAAACATATATAATGGTCATTATTCCAGAATAGGTACTTTTGGGAGGAATGTTATTTTGTGTAAGCGTTTTTTCCATTAAAATACAACAATTTAAAAAGAATGCCTTTGTTTTCATGTTCTTCTTACTGTAATTTAGATTAGTGGTAATTGATAAGCAAGAATGTATAAAATCACCAGAAGCATCTCCCAGATGTGCTACAAGTGTTTTAATTTGTTAATTTCAGAAGAGCAGAGTTAACTGCTAACTAAAATTTTGAAATTCAACATTTAAATTAAAAAAAAAAAAAAAAAATCAGATTATGAGCTGGTACCTCAAGTCTCTCGCCCTCGTCCAGCTCTTGTAGATGTCCCATACACCAGAGCTGTTCAGGAGTGAGACCACCTTCTGTCCTGAGGGGATGATTATTCCATCCTCCAACAAAGGTGACAAGATCTGCTCGGAGTCGAGGGACAAAGATGTAGTGGACACCAAAAAGATGAATGACATCTGAAATGTCAAGCAGGCCATCCTCCTCGAGTGAGTGAAGAATATCATGGTACTTGCTAGTGACTGCAATCCAGACATCACGCCAAAGTCGTTCTACTCTGTAAATACATTTGAATTTGGATTTCAGGTATTTCATGCTTCAAATCAATATCAGAACTGCTACAACAATCTACCCATGCAGTCAATAATAATATAAAAAACATCAAAAGACTAACCTCTGATTGTGGACACTCTTTCCAGATATGAAACTCGCTCTCCCTGTTCCTCTTGTGGCAAACATGAAATGTGCAATGTCCAGGTTTTCTACTCCTTGATCTGCCCTAACCCTATGATAAAAATACATTTTTAAGGAATTTTTAAAGTTTTCTTTAATGATACTTGTTGCTAGCATATAAATTAAATCAGGGCATAAAACCTTGATGGCAAGCCGTGAAGCTGGGCTGATCTCAGGAAAAATGAGAATGCAGTTTTTGCCCTGTTGTTAGTTGCTGCATCCAAGTACAGGACCTGCAGTAAAAACAAATGGAAAATTAAAGATCTGGTTTCAGATCATGTATAGTTTTTCAGTTAATAATGCAGTTTCATAATAAGTGTTCAAGGAATATTGTACGGTTCTATGTTCATAACCATAATTCAAAGCTTGAGTAGTCTATACATCAATATTGGTAGTACTTATCAAAAAATGAAAATGGCCTTTTAGTTTAACCTTTTTGGTAAAGAACTGATTAGAAATTTAAAAAATAATAATTGCAAATCGTCCACTATGTTGGCTTGCTGAATAATTGATGTTCATAAAAAAACAACCTAATAAAGCTCTCATTTCAAAACTACCAAATATTCTACATAACAGTTACACTTTTACCTTCCTTGAGTAGCCATCCACTCCACCAAAGATCACAACATTGTACCTGTTTCAGAGGGAAAACAATCTCACTAAGGCTTGATTTGCAGAACATGTAAGACATTGAAAATAAATTTTTCAGTATGCACACTTGCCACTGACTTAAACTGGACACTTGTCAGGTGTGCTGAAAATAATACCAACATTTTTATATGTTTATAAGTTCAATGAGACTAAATATTTTAGTTCTCTTGTCATGATTTTTTTTAAGTTTTCTGGAGCACTTAACATATTATGTGTTGATAGGCTTGTTATCATGGAAAATATCGATATACAAAGTGTAAATAATTGCTCAAGAAAATTTACAATTAACAATATTGCTGGTTTTGTTACACATCCTGTATTCCTTTTACTTAATATTACTCTATCAAGTGCTTTTTAAAATATTATAAATACACTGAAAGACCTATCAGATAAGGTTGATTAAAGCAGATTTAAAGTATAACGTGCATCTTTCTGCCCAACTTGTGTTAGAGCTATATAAGTGGGTATTTTACCTTATTAGCTTGTGATTTGTGTCTATGTGGACCAGGGAGAGAGGGCCTCGCACCGAGTAGCTTCTTCGCACAACACAGCCTAGTTCTGTGATCCGTTTGAAGATCCCTACAGCATCAACTCGATGCATGGAGGCCATCATTCTCCACCACTGAACACGGAGACCCATAGAAACCAAATGTACTTGAACCATTCGATAGCCAGCATTTGGCATCTGATTTTTGATAGCCGATATGATGTTGTCCAGCTCTTGGTCATTCATTGTGCTGTATGTTCCTCTCACAGACAAGTCAAATTCTTGCATCCTCCTGTAGATTGTTCTTCTTGAAACACCAAGACATTTAGCAATGCAGCTGACTGGCAGCTGAATGTCCAACAAATTCTTGAGTCTTTCTCTCTCTAGTACGATTTTGGGGTGGCCAGGTCCCAGACCAACTTCTGTTTCCAGTTCAATAATGGCCACAGAGCTGATGTTAATTTCACACTGAACCAGATGATGAACGTTTTGTAGAGCCTCTGTAATCTCTGACAGACCGCCTATTTGCTGAGAGAAAGATTCAAACAGAACAAGCTCATGACGAGTCAAGAACTCCAAATAATCCAGATTTAGTGGTTGTTGGTTTAAAGCAGCTTTCAGTTTAGAGAGGAGTCTATGCATCATTTGCTGTCTCAGTATGTCCTGTTAAAAGCAGCAAGGAACATGGACAAGTACAATGAAATGATGTATCTCAGACAAAAATAAACAACCCATAAAACAAACTACATGAGGTACATCATTTTTCAAGTTTGCATAGTTTGCAAATTAGCTAACGTCAGTTATCAAGCGAATAATAATTAACAAAATGATTTTATATTACTTACATGTGGCCGGGACATGCTCTTTTCGTGCTGCTATTCAGTATTCGACGACATAAAAGAGAGCTACTCAAGTATAATTTGGAAAAATTAGTCAGTTGGCATGGTTGTATGATGCAACTACATCCTACTACACCAACAATAGTCTTAAAAAATAATATATTTTAAAATAAAATGATTAAAGATATTATCCGCAAATTGGGGTTTAAGAGATTTTAGCTGGATTTAGCTACATTTCGGACAGTGTTTCCGGAAAGCAGTAGCTAGCCAGCTGATTGGAGACCGTAAGAGCCAATCAGAATTTTTGAAACCAAGTCTGTGATTGGTTGGTTTTGTGGCACACTTATAACGGTGTACAGAGAGTTGAGCGTACGAAGCAGAGAATGTTGTGAGCGCAAGCAACACATTGCGAGCAAGCGCAAATGAAAAAACTGAGCGAGAGGGGGTGCTATTGTGTGTGTATATGGATAAGCGCAAATACTGAAATACGTTTTTTGCACGCAGCAATGAATTTTGTTCACTCAAATTCAGCTTTTGTAAGCTCAAAATAAAATTCTCCTCAAAATGCAACACTTGCACCTGCAATTTTTTTTTTACGTGCGCTCAATTTTTTTTTTACATGCGCTCAGAATAGTGGCACAAAAATAACGCCATAATCATGGACTTAAATGGAATGGAGCGGAGTTCACAATGTCATTATAGTAGAAAATACATGTAGGTCATCATAGCTGAAGCAAATAGCAAACAGGTATCAGCTGCTCAATTGTTGAGTTTAATAACGACTGAAGTAAAAAAGGTTTTCCATCCCTCTGTAGAGCTTCAGGCTTGCTGAATCAATGCAATGATCTATGTTTTCTCAGCATGTGGTGACATGTCAAAACCTTTGTTTTTATTAAACATGAGTGAACGCTAAACTTCATTTGGTTAATTCATATCAAAACTTACTGTTATGTTGGTAATGTTATAAAAAATTGAAGCTAATGTGATAGCCAACATTTTATGTAAGACTGGAACATGTTATCTGGAATTTCACAATCATTTAAGTATTGGATTCAGACTGCTATTATGACAAGATGGCAAATGATTCTCAGGAACTGGAAGGCGCAGAGAGAGCCTCCTTATCAACACTGGGTGATTGAATTCTAGTGATGGGTCGTTCGCCAACGAAATGGCTCTTAGGCTACGTTCACACTGCAGGTCTTAATGCTCAATTCCGATTTTTTGATCAAATCCGATTTTTTTGTCTGCTTGTTCACACTACAAATAAAATGCGAATGCAAACGCGCTCTAGTGTGAACGCTCAAAGCGACCCGCATGCGCAAAAGTAGACGTCACACACAACGCACCCCGTTTATACCCAGAGCAAACAATATTGTTTGGCTGATGGCCCTTAATATAAAGACTTCCGACTTTACGTTTCCCAATTTTTGCTTTAAGTTATTTTGTTATTTACATAATAATGTAAATAACCTAATAATGATCCTTATTGCTGTTTTAGAGGAGCAGTGCTTCAAAGGATAGTTGCAGATTTCTGTCAGAATCTGCAGATTATACAGTACATAAAATATACGTGAAAATAAAATGTTCACGTTTCCCCAACGTTGTCTTCCCAACAGATTCACTAACATCTACACTGGATGGCAAGGAAGTGTTCGCGATGTCTTCTCGGGCGCTTCTCCGGAGCTGATAATTGGCGTCTGTCTTGTGTCAGTGACGTAAAAGACAGATTTAATGCGACATGACCGTTCAAACAGCAGTCACTTTCTAAAACATCGGATATGTATCGGATTCAGTACCACATACGAAAGTGACCCAGATCGGATTTGAAAATATCGGATTTGTGTCGTTCACACTGTCATACCATGATCGGATATGGGTCGCATAGGGTCCAAAAAAATCGGATTTGATGCGCTTTCGCCTGCAGTGTGAACGTAGCCTTAGAGCCGGATCTTTGACGTGAACGACGCGAGCCGGCTCCTTATCACAAGCCGATAAGGAGCTTCTTTTTTTCCGCTTCACTCTGCACGCGAGCCTTGTGCTTTATGCTGGCAGAGGGGGGAGGGGCGGTAGTTACACTCAGTAGCACAGGAACAGAGCCAGAGGGAGAGAGAGAGAAAGAGAGCCAGGGACAACAACGTCACATTAGAAAGGTATAGTAATCATCCACAACTATTTTTGGTTGTGGATGAAGGATTCAGAAAGTTTATTCATGCAGGCTAATATGACAGAGAATGTGCATGTTCTTTTTGTTTTCATATTATAATTTATATTTAATTGTGTTGTGGCTTGCAGTGTTTTGTGTTGTTTCACTTTAAATTTGTAAAAGAAAAAAGCTGAAAATTTAAATAGTTAAAAGTTGAAATGTGAATAGTTGATTTTTGTATTTATTACATTTTATGTGAAGTGAATAAATAAAAGTATATTTACGGTGGCCCCTAGAGACAAAGCACATACAAACTTCAAATCACATACAAACTCTGAAGCATGTACAAACTCCAAAACACGTAAAAACACATACAAACTCCAAAACACGTAAAAACTCCAAAACACGTAAAAACACGTACAAACTCCGAAGCACGTAAAAACTCAGAAGCACATAAAAACTCAAAACACGTACAAAAGACAACAGAAGTGCTCCAGGATGCTGGGCGCAGTGTTGAGCTTTTGTTATCTTGTGGCTACACAAGCCAGCAAGTACCAACGACCGGATTTGGTGTGTGGTAGTAACAGGTAAATGAACTTTTTTTAAAAATTATTTGAATATATATGAGTGCCTGTGTATAAATACACAACCAACACACACATGCTTTCAATTGTGTAATTTAAGTGATCTAGTAGCTCTGCTTTGGAAGTTCAGTTCATGCTAGAAATGTGTTTTGGAGTTTGTACGTGTTTTGTCTCTAGGGGCCACCGCATATATTTATATATAAACATATATAAATAAAATCACTTTTTTTTTACGTTAGTAATTCCTTTTGTGCATATTTTTATATTATTGTTAATAATAAATTAATTAAAGCAACAAAACAACCTGAAGAGCCGGTTCGGAGCCGAAAGAGCCGGCTCTTTTTAGTGAGCTGAACCGAAATCCCATCACTATTGAATTCAGAAAAGTAGCAGCACATGAAAAAAAATGTCATATGATGCAGGATGTGAAAAACATTGGGTACTATTTGATTTTTTTTTTCTCTCTTTTTCATTCGTAATTATTTTCTTGGTAAAAGCTGTTGGAGTGACTCTACATGGAACCTGACCCCTCCTGTTGTCCATGTTGGGTGGGGAAAAGAGGGCATTTGAGCTATCATCTGTTGTGTGACTGTGGAACAGGAACACAGCTGCTAAATGGCAAGAAGCCATTTGGTGTGCACTTTTTTTTCAGACATTTTAGCTGTGTGAAACAGACGGAAATGTCCACTGATTAGCTAACTCTACATGGCTGACCAGGGAAGTGTGAGTATTATGCTAAATGATAACCATTGCTTAGTTTATCGGCTTTTCAGCCTGCTGAGATACATTGGTATGACATATGAAGGATATAAAAAAAACAACAACAGCAATAGAATAATATTAAACACAAAGTGAACCGTCTTCCTTCATTAAATAGGTTCTTTTAGATGTTAAGGAGGAATTGACTTAACCAGGCTGGCGGAGAATGAAGACAACCGGACACCTGCAGCAGATGGGGGAATCAGTGAACTTTTATTGAGACAGAGACAACCTCTCAAAAACAGCTCACATCAAGAGATTCCTAATATTTGCTGTGAGGATGGGTATATATTCTCTAAAACTTACAGGAGGGGGTTGTGAGGAAAGTGCTGCATTAGCAGAAAAACAACTCCATAAAAGGAAAGCGGCCTTGGGTGTTCTAGCCTCTTCGCTTGCAGATATCTTTCGCCTGCAGGATGAGGCGATCGCTTCTTATCGCTCTCAAGGCCAAAGTCGTGAGCACATTTTTATTACACAGTTGCACAGTAACTTTAAAGCTGAACAATATTTAAAGCTGAATAATGTTTGATCAGATTATATTTTCTTCAAATCCCCCTTTTGACCCATCTTAAATGGGTCAACACACAAAAATAAGTAACATTCAAAGGAACACAGAGACGTGTCGAAGCCTGGCTCGAAAAACTCCTCGGGTCTTATCATTTGTCTTTATCTGTCATTGCAGATGAGGAGAAAAGAGTCCAGGCACCACCCTGCCCAGGGGTCGGCTGCAAGCAGTCTCGGTTCCCGACGAAAGCAGTAACAGCTGTCCTGCACACACGGATACAACGAGTTAGTGCAACCAGGGTAGTGACACAAAATTAACAGTTCCTGTAACTCAGCAACCAAAAAGCATAAGTAATGATAAAAATGTGGAGAGTACAGAGTATACTATAATAATGAGAGATATAAACGTGAAAATGTGAAAGAATAAATCAACCGTAAAATAAACCCAGAACGGTAACTGCTAAGGACATTCAAAAGTGAATATGGTAAAACTGGAGAGGAAGTGGTGGGCAAGACCCTAGGGGCTACATTTGTCAGATTGGGACTGTCAGAAGGGGGCGAAGCTTTTGAACTTGAAGGTGTCAGAAGTGTCGGGGGCCCTTCACAGATCAGGATTATGCCAATGGGAATGAGACCCAGGGCCAGGAAGCAAACAAAGACGCAACATCTTTGCCTGCCTGTCATTTCAGGGGAAAGGGCCAAGACATGTTTACTTAGCTTGGATGTCGTCTAATAGAGGATGATGGGGCAGAGAAAGGTGGTCCAGTTCCCCCACCTCGCCAAGGGCGTGTTCTAGGAGTTAAAGAGCAACAACCTGCAATCTGTACCAAAAAATCTTCATAGTCCCACCGGAAAATCATAAGAGTAATAAACGATTCAGCTCAACAGACAAGTATCATGTTCAGGTTTCTCCAATCATTAAATCACTATTATTGCCACAATTTGCTTTATTCACCCTTTGGGCAATGTTATTCCAAGAGAGAGAGAGAGAGAGAGAGAGAGAGAGAGAGAGAGAGAGAGAGAGAGAGAGA